ACGGTGTTAGCTTCCTGGAAATTATCGATATAAATTTGCTGAAAAATTGCAATGTATATTTTGTGAAAAATAGAAATTTAAGTTTAAAGAAAGTTTTCTGTGTAACTTTCCATAAAACTAGCTCTACTAAGTTCCCTAAAAAATGATAAGCAATTTTCCCCAAAAATAGAAATGTAAGTTTTCAGGAAACGTAATTGATTAAGTTAAAGAATATAATATATGCTATTATATAATTATAAAATTTTACACTTGGAAAATTAATATGTATTTATTACTTATTAACCCATTAACGCCCAACTCGTGAAAATTCTTTGATCATTTTCAAGCTACGTAATTATAAATAAAACGGTTGACAATTTAAACAAGAGGTACATTTTCTAAAGGTTTTGGATGTGCTCTTTCCGATTCCGGTGTCAAAAATAAATTTCGTCCAAACCAAAATTAAATATGGCGGTTTTAATGTCAAAAAACACAAAAAAAAAATTCATTTTTTCAAGTTTGACATTTTTTTTCACCTTGAAAAAGTATAAGAATAAAATTCTATTTTCAACCATCGGTGCATAAAAATTATACACTTTCAAGAACCGTAAAGTAGAATTAAAAATTTCAAGATGGCGGACCAATATGGCGTCAAATCTAAAGTAAAATTTAAAAATTTTGGGCAATATTGGTCAAATTGCCCAAAAGTCAATGGATTCGCCTGAATTTTGTTACTCGGGGGTTTTTGGGGTCGCTGATTACAAATATAAACTTCATTTTCAAAAATTCAAAATGGCGGATCAAATATGGCGGACGAGTTTTACAAAATTTTATCGAATTCACTTGAAACTTGTCACTCGGGGGTTTTTGGGGTCGCTGATTACGAATCTGATGTTACTTTTTCAAAATTCAAAATGGCGGATCCAATATGGCGGACTTATTTTTTAAATCTGATCAAATTCACTTGCAACTTGTTACTCGGGGGTTTTTGGGGTCGCTGATTACGAATATGAACTTTATTTTCAAACATTCAAAATGGCGGATGCAATATGGCGGACAAGAATCTTCAAATTTCATTCTATTGACTTAAAATTAAAATTAATTGGTTTTCGGTGTTGTTTATGCACATAAACTGAAAAAAATATATTTATGGTACTGATATAAATATAACCAATTCTCAGATATTATATTGGTGTATATGGAACTGACATACAGTATTGCTGTTTCAGCCATATGGAGTGTAGAACAGCCATATGTATGTGAGAGACAGTAATATGTATGTGAAGAACAGAAATACAGTATTGCTCTTTCATCTATAATACCTTACTATACTCGTATGACAAAAACGACAATATCATTTTTTTCAGTGTAATTAGAAAGAAAGCAAGTTTATATATAGTAGGCGATACATATATGCACATTCTGCAATTGCCATTGGTGGTCCACGGTTGCATCTGAAGTATAATAGGAATATTATTTTTTACATACGTTATGTTTCTCTGGCCCTTTATAATGGCATAAATTATTTATTTTTTTGTTTTATCCTAAAGAGAGGCAGTTTTTTCATACAGCACGATATTGTCATTTTTGTGTATATAGTTGTTGCATTCAGTTATTGATTTTTAACGGTTGGGTTTTTAGAAATGCCGCCAAAAGCAAAACGTGCTAAAAAGTCATACACGCGTGAAATAGAATACCCCAAAAACCCCCGAGTAACAAGTTTCAAGTGAATTTAATCAGATTTAAAAAATAAGTCCGCCATATTGCATCCGCCATTTTGAATTTTTGAAAATGAAGTTCATATTCGTAATCAGCGACCCCAAAAACCCCCGAGTGACAAGTTTCAAGTGTAATCGATGAAATTTTGTACAACTCGTCCGCCATATTGGATCCGCCATTTTGAATTTTTGAAAATGAAGTTTATATTCGTAATCAGCGACCCCAAAAACCCCCAAGTAACAAGTTTCAAGTGAATTTGATCAGTTTTAAAAAATAAGTCCGCCATATTGGATCCGCCATTTTGAATTTTGAAAAAGTTACATCAGATTCGTAATCAGCGACCCCAAAAACCCCCGAGTGACAAGTTTCAAGTGAATTCGATGAAATTTTGTAAAACTCGTCCGCCATATTGGATCCGCCATTTTGAATTTTTGAAAATGAAGTTTATATTCGTAATCAGCGACTCCAAAAACCCCCGAGTAACAAAATTCAGGCGAATCCATTGACTTTTGGGCAATTTGACCAATATTGCCCAAAATTTTTAAATTTTACTTTAGATTTGACGCCATATTGGTCCGCCATCTTGAAATTTTTAATTCTACTTTACGGTTCTTGAAAGTGTATAATTTTTATGCACCGATGGTTGAAAATAGAATTTTATTCTTATACTTTTTCAAGGTGAAAAAAAATGTCAAACTTGAAAAAATGAATTTTTTTTTGTGTTTTTTGACATTAAAACCGCCATATTTAATTTTGGTTTGGACGAAATTTATTTTTGGCACCGGAATCGGAAAGAGCGCATCCAAAACCTTCAGAAAATGTACCTCTGGTTTAAATTGTCAACCGTTTTATTTATAATTACGTAGCTTGAAAATGACCAAAGAATTTTCACGAGTTGGGCGTTAATGGGTTAATACAATAACAATAATATTAATAATAATAATAATGAATTTATTATAATTTTTTTTTTGTTGACAAAATTAATTATTACCTAATAATAAACACCATTATTAATTTCAATGGAAAAATAATTTTAAAAAATTATTTTACAACTTGCTCTTATCTATTTAATTTATTACTACCTGAATTAAGTGTAGATTTCTAACAACAATTTATTGCGAAACAAATGTTTTTTCAAAATAAAATTTGGGGGAAGTGGGAATTGAACCCTAGTTTGCAGAACAGAAATCGAGAACCTAACCACTAACCTAAACGACCATCTAAATACAGGAAACAAAAATCTTCCACGCTTGATGCGCATACCAAGCAGATTGCGCGGGAAAATTTGAAAATGATTTCATTCAATGTAACACGAATAACTTTGTATATAGTTACTTAATATTTATTATATGATTTGTTAATTAAAACTTCATAATACTTATAAATTAATTTTAAAACATTTCTATAAACAAAATTAGAAAATAATTCGGGTGCATGATTTTTCCCCAAAACCCAAAATATCGAAAACCCAATGAATCGAATATCAAAAAGTCGAATAGACATAACCGCGAAAACTTAAATTATCGAATGTTTATTTAATCGAAAAATTAAATGTTCGAATGTTTATTTAATAGAAAAAGTAAATGTTCGAATGTTTAATTAAACGAAAACCTAAAAATTCGAATTTCTATTTAGTCGAAAAACTAAAAGTGCGAATGTTTATTATATCGAAAAACCAAATGTTCGAATGTTTATTTGGTCGAAAAACCAAAACTTCGAATATTTATTTAATCGAAAAACTAAAATTTCGAATGTTTATTTGGTCGAAAAACTAAAAGTTCGAATGTTTATTTAATAGAAAAACTAAAAGTTCGAATGTTTATTTAATCGAAAAAATAAAAATTCGAATGTTTATTTAATCGAAAAACGAAAAGTTCGAATGTTTATTTAATCGAACAACTAAATGTTAGAATTTTGATTTGATCGAAAAACCAAAACTTCGAATGTTTATTTAATCGAAAAACTAAAAGTTCGAATGTTTATTTAATCGAAAAACTAAAATTTCGAATGTTTATTTAATCGAAAAACTAAATGCTCGAATGTTTATTTGGTCGAAAAACTAAAAGTTCGAATGTTTATTTAATCGAAAAACTAAAAGTTCGAATTTCTATTTAATCGAAAAACTAAAATTTCGAATGTTTATTTAATCGAAAAAAGAAAAGTTCGAATGTTTATTTAATCGAACAACTAAATGTTAGAATTTTGATTTGATCGAATCACCAACTATAAGAATGCACAAAAGATCGAAATTTTTTTGACATGCGAGTTTACTATCTATGTTGTCTGTTAACATAGTTCCAATTGGACAATTTTATAGGGTTTTTTTTCGGCGCGAAATTTAAAATCATTTTGAAAATAAAGTTTTTAAAGAATAAACAAGTAAATGTTTTGTATTGAAAATAATTAATTTTTTAGTGTTAAAAATTTATTTAATTGCAAATTTGAAGAATAATTTAAATTTCAATAACAAATTTAATAATAAATCAACTTTGAATTAAAAATAATAAAAATTGTAAAATAAGAAAATTATTTAATATTTTGTGTTTAAAAAAATTATTCTTACTATTTACTTAATTACTATATTAACAAAATTTATGAAATTCTCATTGTTTTTTTAATAACATATTTCCGGAAATTGAAACATCTTTAAAAAAAGGAACTTAACATCATTTAAAATTTTTTTTTAGAAATTTCATTAAAATAAGTATTATTAAAATAATAATTAAAAATATTATTAATTAATCTTTGGATTTCATAAAAATTATTGCACAGTCCTTAAAAAAAGAGTAAATAAAATTTTTTTTAAATATGATTTTTGTCAAAATATTTCATTAAAAATCTTCAAGAAATTTGATTACTCATTTAAATTGTCAAAAATTAACTAACAATTTTTTATGGTCTTTAAAAATGCTCATAATATGTTACAAAGTATACACGAATTTGTTAATTGAACAAAACATTTATTTAAAAAAGCTACAATTTTATTATTATAATTTAAAAAAAACAATTCTCAAACGGCCTTTTATAAATTACTTAGAATTTCAATTTCTTTTTACATTATTTAAATAAAGTTCTTTAAAAATTTAATGTCAATAATACTGCTGTCTAATTAAATTGCTTGCAATTCTCATTTTGTTTACACAAAATCAAAAGTCGCTTACGAGCTATGCGAACTCTGATTTTATGAACAATACAAATTACTAAGTTTACACTACGAAAAATACAATTAACAGCCTTTTCATTTTCTTAAAATTACGTAGAAATTCACAATAGTATATGTTTTTATTTTTACTTTTTAACACTATTTAAATAAAGTTCTTAAAAATTTAATGTCAATAATACTGCTGTCTAATTACACTGGGTAACAAAAAAATGACCATGTCGTGTTTATTTAAAAATTTTTGTGTTTATTGAAACTTTGGGTGTCAATGAACAAGAAAATACCAAAAAAATTTTTTAATTTATTCAGACCCCTAAAAAGGGGGGTTGAATTATAAAAAAACGGTGTTTTTTGAATTTTTTGAAGACCTGTAAAAAGAAAATGGGAAGACATAAAAAGCTCTAATATGGCTTAAAAGAAAGCTGAAACCTTTATCTTTAAGAAGCAAAACTGAAAAGTAATGTAAAAAATTCAGGGAACCTGTATTTATCGAGTAAGCCCCTAATGTATCATACATTCTGGTAAAAATGACTGGGAATCTGAGCATATCAATTTTCATAATCGGATTGGCTTCAAATTTGTTACTCAGGGGTTTTTGGGGTCGCTGATTACGAATCCGAAGTCAGACTTCAAAAATTCAAAATGGAGACTTTAACATGGCGGATTCAACCAAGTCTCGAGCGAATCCGAACGCCTTTCAACATTTTATTCGCTTTGTTGAAGCCGCCATTTTGAATTTTGGAAATCTAACTTCGGATTCGTAATCAGTGATCCCAAAAACCCCCGAATAACAAATTTGAAGCCAATCCGATTATGAAAAATTGATATGCTTAGATTCCCAGTCATTTTTACCAGAATGTATGATACATTAGGGGGGGGTAGTCGGTAAATACAGGTTCCCTGCAATTTTTACATAACTTTTCAGTTTTGGTTCTAAAAGATAAAGGTTTGAGCTCTCTTTTAAGCCATATTAGAGCTTTTTAAGTCTTCCCATTTTCTTTTTACAGGACTTCAAAAAATGCAAAAAACACCGTTTTTTAATAATTCAACCCCCCCTTTCTAGGGGTCTGAATAAATTTAAAAAAAAATTTTTGGTATTCTCTAATTCACTGACACCCAAACTTTCAATAAACACAAAAATTTTGAAATAAACACGACATGGTCATTTTTTTGTTACCCAGTGTTATATTGCTTGTAATTCTCATTTTGTTAACACAAAATCAAAAGTCGCTTACGAGCTATGCGAACTCTGATTTTACGAACAATACAAATTACTAAGTTTACACTACGAAAAATACAATTAACAGCCTTTTCATTTTCTTAAAATTACGTAGAAGTTCACAATAGTACATGTGTTTTTATTTTTACTTTTTAACATTATTTAAATAAAGTTCTTTAAAAGTTTAATATCAATAGTATTGCTATCTAATTAAATTGCTTGTAATTCTCATTTTGTTTACGCAAAATCAAAAGTCGCTTACGAGCTATGCGAACTCTGATTTTACGAACAATGCAAATTACAAAGTTTACAATACGAAAAATACGATTAACAGCCTTTTCATTTCCTTAAAATTACGTAGAAATTCTCAATAGTATATGTTTTTATTTTTAATTTTTAACATTATTTAAATAAAGTTCTTTAAAAGTTTAATATCACTATTATTGCTATCTAATTAAATTGCTTGTAATTCTCATTTTGCTTGTAATTCTCATTTTGTTTACACAAAATGAAAAGTCGCTTACGAGCTATGCGAACTCTGATTTTACGAACAATGCAAAGTACTAAGTTTACACTTTAAAAGATACGAATAACAGGCTATTCATTTGCTTAAAATTACGTAGAAATTCACAATAGTACATGTTTTTATTTTTAATTTTTAAGATTATTTAAATAAAGTTCTTTAAAAGTTTAATATCAATAGTATTGCTATCTAATTAAATTGCTTGTAATTCTCATTTTGTTTACGCAAAATGAAAAGTCGCTTACGAGCTATGCGAACTCTGATTTTACGAACAATGCAAATTACAAAGTTTACAATACGAAAAATACGATTAACAGCCTTTTCATTTCCTTAAAATTACGTAGAAATTCTCAATAGTATATGTTTTTATTTTTAATTTTTAACATTATTTAAATAAAGTTCTTTAAAAGTTTGATATCAATATTATTGCTATCTAATTAAATTGCTTGTAATTCTCATTTTGTTTTACACAAAATGAAAAGTCGCTTACGAGCTATGCGAACTCTGATTTTACGAACAATGCAAAGTACTAAGTTTACACTTTAAAAGATACGAATAACAGGCTATTCATTTGCTTAAAATTACGTAGAAATTCACAATAGTACATGTTTTTATTTTTAATTTTTAAGATTATTTAAATAAATTTCTTTAAAAATTTAATGTCAATAATACTGCTGTCTAATTAAATTGCTTGCAATTCTCATTTTGTTTACTCAAAATCAAAAGTCGCTTACGAGCTATGCGAACTCTGATTTTATGAACAATGCAAAGTACTAAGTTTACACTTTAAAAGATACGAATAACAGCCTTTTTATTTTCTTAAAATTACGTAGAAATTCATAATAATATATTCTTTTAATTCTAATTATTAACATTATTTAAGTAAAGTTTTTTAAAAACTTAATGTCGATAACACTTAGAACACTTTGTATACATTTGTATATCTGGCGCGACACATGGGACACTGTCCCCTCCCCAATACTTGGTATTGTATCCAACAAATTTCGTAAATTTTTAAATGTGCGCATGGTATAAAAATATATTCAGGAGCTCTTGTGTAGCAAACACAGCATAGGGGACGTTCAACTGCACAAAAGTACATGATCAATAAACATAATAAGAACATAAAAATAATTGCAATAAAAGAAATATTTTTTTCTCCTTTTTTCGTGAAATCTTTTCTACTTTACCTTGTGGCTCATCATTTCTTTCTTCTTCTAACACCTCGGCTACTACTTCTTGAGGATTTTGTTGAACTAATTCTACAACCGGTTCTGGTACGTTAATTACATCAAAGTAATTATCATTTCCTAATGAAAACAAGTTAATTATTTATTGATATTATTCTATCAAATTTGACATACAAGACCTTACCGTCTTCATTGTTGTGTTCCATTTCAAAGTAAAACGAAATTGGTTTCGAAAACATGTTTCGTGCTTGGTTCAATAAATCTTCTCCTGAGAATGAATCATCATTCATGTTGGACCACAATGTTTTGAGGTCAGTTCTTTTCTCTCTACTGAATAATTTCGGCATTCGAACATTTTGATAATCCTCTACACGAATATTTCGCAAATCAGTTTTTATTTTATGGAAATAGGATGACAAAAACCCTGTAAAAAGTGTCATTATATAATTATAATCATCTTTCGCAAAATATTTCAGATTAATTTTCTAAAATTGAATGTTTTATTTACGTGGATATCGCCAAGTTGCAGGAAATGTCCCTAATTTTGATTCCAACTGATTGGAATACAATTCAAAAAATTGTGTCGATTGATTGTAATTATTGTAGCAGGTCATATTTTCCGTTTGAACACCCTGAAGCCATTCCGTCTGGAACCAATCCAGGATGTTGTTGCATCTTGTGATTGTCAACTGTGATAATGTATTTAAAAAATTGTCGTATGTATATTCGATTAACTCTGCTGGGAATAATGGCAGTGCCATTAATCCCAATGCTAATTTCTTAATCTCATTATTATTATCATTGTTTTTTAACTCCATTTTGAGATTTTCTGCTACAAATTTCTTGTAAATATCCTGAAAATAAAATTGAACGTTATAGATCAAAATTTTCTTTTTATAATGGTATTGAAAAGAAATGCTTAGTAATAATAATAATAATAATAAAATTAGTTTTACTTCTTGATAATAATAAAGGCTCCTTAGAACATTTGCTTCCGGGAATACAAATTCAATAGACTCTTTCAAAATTACTTCATTTCCTGTAACTACTGTAGTCATTTGGAATATTGGCACAATTTCTTTTATTTTCAGAAAAAATGATTTGTAAGTTTCAATTGTAAGCCGCTCTAGTAGTCCAAGTGCAATGGGAATTAACTGTTGATTAATGACAGTATATTAAATATTTTTACATGATTAAAGGGAAATTGATTTTTAATCAAGTATTTTAATCTTTTATCAATTTGAGACACATGAATAAGTTAAAATAAAAAAAATTAGAATTTACAATTCATATAATATTATTGGACAGATTTTGAAAAATAAAAAAAACGTGTATTAATAAAATATAAAATTTGAACTGAAATATTCCAATCAGTTAAATGAAAATAGGATTCAATAGAGATGAATTGAAATTTGAAATTATCTAAATTTTGAGCTCTTTTTAAGTTGTTAATATTCTGATAATTAAAAACCAAATAAATAAATTAATTAATTATTAATTAATAATAATAAAACCTGTTAGAAATTTTTTTAAAATAAAGTTGCATTACGACAGATTTAATTGTAATTAATATAAATAAGAGTTGTATGAATTTCTTGAAAATTACTGAACAAAAATAGAAAAAAGAGAAGAAAAGAAATAAAAATACACTTACGCGATTATTTTTTAACATCAATAAAGATATTATTCCATCGGTCCAACCGCCTTGTGGTATACATTTCTTTGAAATGTGTATAAAATAATTCTCTGCCCGAAATGCACTCCTTGGGAAGTTGTTGTCGAAAATTGTACAACAGCTAGCATTGTCTTCTCCTGTTGAGAGATAATATGAAAGCACACCAGATTTGTGAGATTTCAAAAAACCCCATTCATCACTATTAATAGTGTCGGTGAAAACAAGTAAATTATCTATCTCTTCTGGAACATGGCTGTAACGCCATCTTCTCATATTCTCTTTCATCCTTGTGAAAGAAATGTTTCCTTCCTGTTCATTATGACTAGAAAGAAAAAATATAGTTAATTTTAAAAAATATTGGTATTTTACGAGGGGCAAACAACTCTAGAATTTGGTGTACACCTAATACAATAATAATTCAGTTATTTACGGTAATTCATATTAGTATAATTCAATTCAAGTGTACACCATATAATTCACGAGTTGTTCACCCCTTCACTGCAAAAATAAGTATCTTATTTGATATCTTAAAATAAGATGTAAGATGGAAAAATGGTATCTTACATCTTAAAATAAGATGTTTTCTAAAGTATCTTACTGATTTTTAAGATGCTTTATACGTCTTAGATATTTCTTCTATCTTAAAAAAGTAAGATACTTCTGTAAGTTTTTTAAAGTATCTTAAATTAAGATGTTTCTGTCTCAATAAGATGTTTAGCTATAAGATACTTGTGAATTGTAAGATGCGAAAAAAATTTAAGTTACTAAAAACTAAGATGCATAAAATGTCTTACATATAAGCCCATAGTTAACCTCAAAACTTTTTTTCTGAAAAATATGCTGAAAATGTGTACGAAGATGCTTTTAGCATCTTAAATTAAGACATTTTAAATGACTAAAAAGTTACTACAATAACATCTTAGAAATGACTACAAAAACATCTTAATTAAGATACTTCTTTTTGCAGTGTTGGTATTTTATAAATGTTATATAACATTAAAATTTAAAACTTATTTGCGATTTCTTTAGAAAAAAAGATATATTTATGTATACAGATCCATTATGTTGTTGTAAACATCTCTCAATGAATCTGGCTGTGTTCTTGCACTATTTCTGAGCTCTCTTCTTAATGAAAATTCCTCCTCTTCCCTCGGATCGACTGTATGTTTGTGATTTGATGTCAATATAAATTGATTATTTCTATTGATTTTACCTCGTCCTGGGCAATTTTTCTTCTTATGATTTCGACATATCAGGTAACTAAATTAAAATATAATTTAAATTTTGTAAATTTTTTATTTTATACTTTAATTGCATAGTATTTTAGAAACATTTTTTAAAATAATTTTAATACAAAATCAATAAATATAATGAGCATTAAAAGTTTTTTTTATTAGTGAAATTAAACCTTTTTTGAGATAGTTAATAAAATGATCAATTCCAATTGAAACGAAGACGTTTTATGTAAAATATATTTAATTTCAAATTTTCAGTTAGAATTATTCAAAAACACAATTATATTTAAAACTAATTTTCAACAGTAAACAAATAAAACTTTTTCACTTTTTTTAATATTATTTTCAGGAACTCAACTACTATTCAAAATTATTAAATTATTTCTCTCAATAAATTGTAATTTTTTGTCAACAGTAAAAGCTTTAATAATTTTAAATAATTTCGATCGATGACAATAAATTTAAATCGATTAAAATTTAATTTCAATACAATAATGCAGTACAATTTTTTTACATATCTATAAATAATTAATATATTGTGCAGACATAACTTACGTTATATTTCTTTCCATTTTGTTTAAAATGTACATATAGCCTTCGATGAAATATATACCTCCTATGGGTACACTGTAAGACAATAAAAATGAATATTTAACACTGTATTTTAAGAATCATAATTTTTCAAAACACTGAAGCCTTATAGTGAATTGAGGCCTTGGATCGAATAACTCGCCCGACGCTCGGAGACTCGCGCTAATACCAGTCGGGTAGCAGTGAGTGGCCCAGAGGCGCTCACTGACTGGCATTAGCGCGTGTCTCCGAGCGTCGGGCGAGTTATTCGATCCAAGGCCTCAATTGATATCCTAATGTGCACTTCATAAAATATGAATGTCGTTTAATTATTTACCAAAAAAGGAAGAACGAAATATGTAGTTATTTTTGATCTTTAAATACCAATGTTACCATTTTCATACTTGTCAAAATTAACATAACTGCGTTAGATATTATTTCTTGTTATACCAAGAAAAGCTAAATCACTTTTTTCTTATTTTGGTCATGTCAAACTTGACAAATTTTCTCATTATAATATTATAGTTATTATACTTACATTCTTCCTCCCTCCATCTTTTTTATCTTTTACTCGAAGAAACACAATGCATAAAAATTTAGCTTTTTTATTATTCACTGTTTAAGTAAAATACTTTTCTTTATGAAGGAACCCGGGACTTCTTCTCTTTAATATTAAAGTGTTATACACACTTTTCTTTGGCAACGAATGGTAGTGCAATATATATTCTGGCACTGAAGGAACTAATATAAACGCAAACATTTATAACATTATTTATTCACTAATAGTTGTATAATTAGTTTTTAATTTATATAAACTATTAGTACAGCGGAACAAATGCGTTTGTAAATTCACCCTCATACAGTTTGCGCAGGGATGGGTACGTAACATACTTCATGTATGTTACCTGGGTTTGTTACTGTATGTTACCTAGTATGTTACGTCCTTACATTGTTACATCCATGTAATTTTCGAGAGTGGGGGGTTACATACGTATGTTACTTTATGTAACATACATGTAACATACGTAGAAAACCTCGAGTTTGTTACATTTACCCATCCCTGAGTTTGCGCAAGCTGTATCTAAATTGTGTCTGCGCCTTTATTCTGCTCAGGGCTTAAGCTGTGAACGAGCCTTTATACTATACAAGCGCATTGTTGTCTGGTTCGTGATCGTAGACAGGTCACATAGAGATCAGTGAGACAGGTATTGTAATTGTAATTATTATTTAATAGTGTAAATATTTGTTTTGAATATTATTATGATTCAATAATACCTATTTATATGAAAATTATTAAAGGAGTGAAAAATGTTAATTTACAGGTTCAAGTGAAATATTACAATGGCTTTGTTTAATGACCATGTTTGGAACAATTACCGTTATGTTATTCGTGAAAAAGCAGATACTGTAATGTAAGCATGTAATTTTATAATTAAATAAAATTATCATTTTTAAAAATAATAGAATTTTAAAACTTTCTAATTTAAAATTTTGTTGAGAACACTAAAAAAAATTCAATTTTGGAGAAATTACAAGTAATTGCAGAAATTCAACTATTTAAAAAAAATAATAAAATTCAACTACAGTAGAACCCCGGTTATCCGAGCTCGCTTTATCCGAGGTCTCGATTATCCGAGGTGGCCTCCGAAGAGGATATACTGCTTTATCCGAGTATTGCGGCTGGCCTAGTCCGAGTAATCCGAGTTGCGACATTAAAAAAAGTTGAATAATATTTGAAAATTTTTTGTTATTTTAATAAATTACATAAGTTATTATGAAATTATAAAAATCCCTTTCTCGTTTATATTAGAGACTTTTTTATAAATAAAATGTTAAATTACGTATATATTATAATAAAAGTCCGTTTTATCCGAGTTTTCGCTTTATCCGAGGTAGGTCCGGTGCACATTAGCTCGGATAATCGGGGTTCTACTGTATGTACAAAATTTGAAAAAAAAATTTTTGTAAAAATACCAATAGGTAACGGGTACAGTGACCGACACCCATTCAGTGAACGACACCCTAAATTAAAAATCTCAATAAATGTAAAACAAAACATTACTAATGTATATTTAAAAAATGTTAATATTATTAACCCGTTGCCTGTTTCCGACCCACGGGTGGGTCGTGAGAAAGTATGGCCATAACTGTTTCCGACCCACCCGTGGGTCGTGTTCACTATCACTCAAAATAAATATAATTTGTTTATAAATTGATAAATATTTTTCTTTATATCAATATTATAAGAAATTATAAGGGTCATTAATGATATTTTAGAAAATAATTGAATAATTAGTTATAATTTAAATATATTATACTATTTAAAAAAGTATCAGATTCCGCTGGGCAGTTTGGGACAATCATGTTGTATTTTCCTCAAACAGTTAAGGGGTTAAATGAAATGTTTGGAAGCTATTAAAATAACAGCAATATTAATTTCGTTTATATTTCGGATAAAATTTCAAGTTCTATAGAGATAACCTCAAAATTCACTTTTTGAGGTTATCTTCACATATAAAGTAAAATGCGTTGTGAAAAATAAATTAAATATTGTTACTACTTTAATAGCTTCCACATATTGTATTTTATAATATTAATATTTTTAAAATGTACATTAATGATGTTTTGTTTTATATTTGTTGCTATATTGAATGTAGGGTGTCGTTCACTGGATGGGTGTCGGTCACTGTACCCGTTACCCTATCATCTTTATAAATAACAAAATTCTTCTCCAAAGTTCAATCATTACTTTCCTAAATGTCAAAACAATTCTTGTCCTAATATCAATTATTTTCAAAAAATTTTCTAATTTCAATGACTTTCAATATCTACTATTTTAATAATTATCTCTCGGTCATCTTTAATATTATAAAACATGAAGAAGTCGATCACTCCGAGTCTTCGACTCGGAGCAATCGATGTCTTCATATTTTATAACAATACTTTTATCAGTTGTTTAATTTAAAAAAGGTTTGAATTTGAAATTTTTGAATGTCTTAATTCCTGTGGAAAATCCTGTTCCAAAAATAAGATTAAAAAAAATAGAAATTATGCAAATATTTTTCTTCTTTTTCTAAAACAAAATAATAATTTTCTTAAAAAAATTGTGATTCGTAAACAAAAATAATGCAAAATAAATTGCATTATTATTTACTTTTTTATAATTTTTCTTTTCAAATATTTTCAATTTTTAAAATTAATATATTAAAAATCATCGAATTGTTGCAAACAATTTTATCAAAAAATTTGATGATAATAGAATTCCTTCAAAGGATTTTATTATTTAGTAAAATAACTAAATTCTCGCAAAGAATTTTATTAAAATTTTTTAAAATCCTAATTAAATTCTTTTTAAGAATTTTTTTCAATTTTTTTTTAAACTAATGGAGTTTCTTTAATAATTTTAATTGAAAATTTTGAAAACATTTTAATTTTATGAAGAAGAATTTTATTAAAAGTGAATTGAAAATAAGTGAATTCTTGCGGAGAATTTTACTATTTATAAAAATTGTTTCGAAGAATTTATTAAAATTTTTGGACATAGTTGAAATTTATGGAAATATTTAAAAATATTTGAATTCATCCGAGGAATTCAATTAAAATTGTTTTGAAAATCAATGGATTTTTGTAAATATTTTACTATTGAAAACAATAATTGAATTGTTTATAAGGATTTTATTATTTATAAAAATAATTAAATTGTTTCGCAAGAATTTTTAAAAATTTTAAGAATTAATTAAATTGTAATGAGGAATTTTATAGAAATATTTTAGAATAACGAAAGTTTTTCGAGAAATTCAATTAAAGTTGTTTCGAAAATAATGGAATTTCTTTAAAGAATTTATTTATTAAAAATTCCGAAAAAAAGCCTTTTAAAAAAAGGGAATTTAACTTTTCTTTTCTGGCACTCCTTGGGATTAAAGTAGACGAAAAGACGAAAAAATACATATTTTTGACTTTTTAAAATAATAATTTTAAACTATTTTTCAAAGCCTTCAAACTTGCTATGTTTCTAAACAGTGAAAAAAACATTCTTTCGTAAATTTAATGTAAAATCCCCGAAAATCAATATTTTTTGATCGGACAAGTCTCTTTCTCTTCAAAAACGTTCAAAGAATGAAACCTAATTGTTCAATTAAAAAAAAATTCATTTTTAATATTGTTTAGTATATCTGAGTAATACTCAGGCGCGAGTCCCTTCGAAATTGCTCTATAAAATTAATATGAAAGCAGTGTAACAAATTTATTTTTCTACTTTTCAATTATTTCATTTATTTATTTTCAACTTAATGTATTTCAGTTCGGAAACGTTTAATTTATAAAGAAAGTCACAAATTTACTATGAATTTATTTAATTCAATTCTAAAAGTCTCTCACAAAAAATTATAACTATATTCGATCCAAATTTCTTATTCGATTATAATCAAATTATCGCGTATCTGGCCAGAAATAAAATCTAAATTAGAAAACACACATACGAAACACACATAGTTATATAAAAAAATTGAAGAACGTGAATTCCCTTCAGGAGTCGATGATAATAAATAGAATATGAATTTGGTTTTACGACTAAAATTATTATACAAATTAAAAGGGCACAGCTGATGTGTGTGGTCAAGAAGATAATTACATAAAATGTTTTTCGAGTTAAATAATGCGTATGGAGAAACTAATAAATTGACTCACCGTTGCAAATTTATATAAAATGATTTTGAGAGCGACCTACGTGACTTCGGTGGCTCAGTCGTCAAGAAGATTGTTCGGAGATGATCTCCTAGTCAAAGCAAATGATCGGTGGACAATTCCAACTCCAATAAAATGATAATAAAAATGAGTTTCGCCTCGATTGTTTCTCGAAATAACGTCTTAATGGAATAAACTATATATTTTGGTAGACAATTACAGCTTCACAGCAACGAACTTCACGATGCTTATATTTTGCGCACCAACCGCTATAATTTAATTTAACAAATAATTAACACTCGAATAAAACAATAATCCAACAAAATTTAGATTTTTATCACTCTCTTACCCCAATCGGGCGTTGTGAAAAATTCGTTTTATTGCAAGTTAAGCAACGCAACTTGCCGACCTGCTCTGCACCGAGGTGCCTGTACTGAGGTCTTGACCACACTAATTCGACTACTCAAATTCACGATTAATTTCTGGCTCTCCTCACACACACACCATCACACCTTATCGCCTTCTTTCCCATATTTCGACGAATCATCATATATTTCTCACAGCAGATAAATATAAAACTAAATATATCGTTGGAAAGGTAATGAAACAAGCTTTCAAATAATGTAAATATCGAGTCTTTAAATTTATAAACCTGGGCTAGGTAGTCTCTTAAATAAAGCGAAAAGCGTCCTGCCGGCAGGACCGGGCTTCGTCATTCTGTGACTAAAAATTATGTGAATTTTTGGAACATGTAACTTCTTCAAACTACCCAGCCCTTAGTTTTGAACTTACAAGCTCGATATTTATATGCGCTGAAAGCTTGTTTCATTACCTTTCCAATGATATATATCATTTTTTATTAATCTGAATTCATGTTAGTTTTCTTTAGTGATTTCAGAGGGACTCACCTGAGTCTTTTTCGTCCTGCCGGAAGGACGTTGGACGATCTATCATTAACCAATATTAATTTATAGATATTACGTATGCTGTAAATATAAAAATGGAACATGTAAGGGTAGTGGGAATTTGAAAAACAATATTTTCACGCCCACAAAAAACCACACACATCCTCCGAATTTAAGGGAATTGAAGGAGAGAGAGTTTAAGAAACAACTGTTCTTAGAAGTCACCACAACTATGGAAAGTTATAGAAAAATTTATGACAAAGTTCGTCCGTTGTAAGTAATAATAATTAATAATTATATTTTTCTCTAATACATAAAAAAACATATTTTAAAACTTTTGCAATCTTGTTTAATTAATATTGTGTTTTTAAAATTAGCCACAGAGAAGCAGCTGTAACTGTAACTTTTCCAAAAATTGAAAGCTCCATGTTTAAATGGAGAAAGAAATGTATACCTGATAAACCGAATTCTTTCTTCTCGTATATATAGAAATGGTTACTTCTAACGAATGGAAGCATCTATTGAAATACGACCAACACTCAGTTAACGTTTCCCTCGCAGTTGGCAATGATAGATCGAAATCCATTGTTTTTATGGACATTGATTTTGCTAATACTCTTTGTAGCAATAACATGATTTTTTTAGATGCTACTTACAAAGTAGTGCCAATTTTAGGCGATGCATTTCAGTTGTTAGTATTGATGACTCACAAATTTGGTCACGTAAGTATAATTAACGATATTCAAATCACAGGAGCATGCTTATATTTTGGA